TTGACTGTGTGGATCATAGCAAGTTATGGCTAACATTGAGAAGAATGGGAATCCAAGAGCATTTAATTGTGCTCATGCAAAAACTTATACCTAGACCACGTGGCTATTGTGCAAACAGAGCAAGGGTTTAAAGTTAACAAGGGAGTGTGTCCAGGTTGGTTTCTCTCTCCATACATATTCAAACTGTATATGCTGAGCAAATTATTTGAGAAGGTGTTTTCTATGAAGAAGAAGGTGGCATCAAGATCAGAGGAAGACTCATCAATAACCTGCTTTATGCAGATGACACAACCTTGACTGCTGAAAGTGAAAAGGACTTGAAGCACTGGCTGCAGCTTCAATATGGATTCCATCTTGGTATCAAGAAACAAAGATTTTTACCACTGGACTGATAGGCAACATAGAGATAGATGAAGTCAGTAACTTCATCTTCATCTTACTTTGATCCACAATCAACACCACTGTTTTCACCAGTTAGGGAATCAGGAGATGTACTACATTGAAGAAGTAGGTACCTCTCCAAATTACTGAGGAGTAATGATGTCAATTTGAGAACTAAAGGTGTCTGATTCAGGCCATGGTCTTTCCAATCACTTGCAATGCATCCAAGAGCTGGGCAGTGAATAAAGATGACAGAAGAATAACTGATGCCTTCCTTTGAGCTGTGGTGTTGGAGAAGAGTCCTAAACATCTTGTGAACTGCCAAAACAACAAACATGTCTTGGAAAAAGTAAAGAATTGACACCTTTGAGCTGTGGTGTTGGAGAAGAGCACTGAAAATCCCACGGATGGCCAGGAGAATGAACAGATAGATATGTCTTGGATAAAGGGGCAGCCAGAGTGCTCTTGGAGGCAAGAATGAGGGGGCTTCGCTTCACATACTTTGGTCATGTTGCTGCCGTTATGTACCATTGAGTCGCTTGCGACTCATAGCGACACTGTGTACAACAGCCCTAAACCCTGCTCTATCCTGTGCCAATCGTACTGCTTTTGACACACCTACCCCCATTACTGCAGTGACTGAATCAATACATCTCATAGAGGGTCTTCCCTTCTTGCACCATCCCGCCACCCTCTCAAGCATGATGTCCCTCTCCAAGGATCTGTCCCTCCTTACATGTCCAAAGTATGTTAGACGAAGCCCCAGAATCCTTCCCTCCAAGGGGCAGCCTAGTTTAACCCTCTCAAGGATGAATCTGTTTGTTTTCTTGGCAATCCATGGCACATTCAATACTCTTTTCCAGCACCACAGCTCAAAGGCATCAATTCTCCTTCTATCCTCCCTAGTCATTGTCCAACTCTCTGACTCATATCAAGTGACTGCGAAGACCATGGCCTGTATCAGACGCACCTTAATCTCCAGAGTGGCACCACTGCTCTTCAGTACTTTAGAGTTTCCCATCACAATATGTTTTTTGATTTACTGGCTACTGGTGCCAAGTGTGTTGACCGTGGGGCCGAGCGGACTAAAGTTGTTAACAATCTCAAGCTCTTCACCATCCATCTTGATGCTGCCAATTGGTCCAGTGGTGAGAATCTTTGTCTTCTTGACACTGAGCCTCAATCCCTACTGAAGGCTGCAGTCCTTGACCCTCTGCAGCAAGCGATGTTGCTAAGAGAGACTATTCCCTGGAGAAGGACATGATGCTGGAAAGGGTGGAGGGTCAGTGAAGGAGAGGAAGACCCTCAACCAGGTGGACTGACACGGTGTCTGCAGAAATGGCTCCTGGGTGTCAAGAAGTGCGACAAGAGCAGGGCTCTGATCTTTTGTTCATAGTGTTGCTATGAGTCGTGCTCGACTCAACGACACGTAACAACTCATCCCAGACGCAGGTGGGGAAGGCAGGGCGGCGCGGGGCCCGGGACCCCAGGACCCCTGGCGGCGTCTCCCCGATTTCCTTCACACACACGGCAGCCGCCGCAGGCCCCGCCTCCTCCCCTCCCAGCAGCGCAGGCCTCGCCCCCTCCGGACCCCTCCACCTCGGGCCGCGATGCGGGGGGACACCCCCTCCCCTGGGCGCCCCGTCCCCGCGGGGAGAGGGAATCGAGGCCCCGGAGCCGCCAGGGCTGCGCCCGCCCATCCAGGCCTCGGCCGCGGGAGGGGCCCGACCCCCGTCACAAAGGGGCTGCTGACCCCCGACGTCCACCTACCGGACAGCGGTCACTGCGGCCACAGGCGCCCCTCTGCGGATGCCCGCTCATCCTCTAAGAAAGGACTCCACAGGGAAACCTCGCGCAGGCCGGGCCGGGTAGAGACCGCGTCCACGGGAATATTCCCACCCCGTCCCCCAGCGGAACACGCCCGGCCACGCCCCCCGCGGGAACACGCCCGGTCACGCCCTCCGGCGCTTCGGAGGACGCACGAGCACTTCCGGTGCCGCCGGGAGCGGCCCTGCGCAGCGGAACCAGAACCGGAAGCCCTTGTCCGCGTTTGCTGGAGCCCATGGAGACGCTATAAAGGACAGCAGTCAGAGACCTGAAGCTGCGAGGCTGAAAGAGACAAGCTGCACCTCAAAAGACGTGCCACCTCCTATTAGGAACTCTGGTGGCACAGTGCATAGAGCTGTGCTAATAAAAAGGATGTGCTTCTCTGGGGACTCAGATGCAGTATTAGCTGTCACTCTAAACTTAATGTAAGATAGATGTAGGCTGTTGTTAACGTCCCCGTCATGTTGCCTGCGACTCATAGTGACCCTATGCACAATACGTCTGAAGCCTGTCCAGCCCTGATCCAGGCTACTGACACCCACCGCCACCATTACCCCAGTTACTGTGTTAATCCATCTCACTGTGGGTCTTCCTTGCCTCCACACATTTTTTTTTTTAATTTTCTTTATTTTAATTAAAGTTTACAGAGACTTGGGATTTCCATTCATTGTTGCATACTTTTCTCCCTGCCCAGCACCTCCCCCCAGTTCACTTTTCTCTTTGAAAAGTAAAAAAAAATAAATTCATTTTTAAACTATCCTCGCCACCCCCACTTCACCCCCACCCTCAAACACTCCACTATGCAGCTTTTATTCTGGACTCTTGTCACGACAATACCTAATCATACATGAAAGGTCTCCTGGAAGATGGGCAATATTCCCCACTGACACAGATTCTGGGAGACATTCTAATCAGCCTGGTGTAAAATGGCTACAGCCAATCAGAAGAGAGCACACCCACAGGCCATAGTCTACTTAACATCAGCTATGACACAACCCACCTAAGGGTCCTGAGCAGCTCCTTGGATGGGAACAGCCCCGGACATCCAATTACCATCCTTCACAGAGAGCTGACCACCAAATAGATCAAATTACCTCCCCTCCCCCCAAACCTTTGCTGTAGCTTTCCCATGGACAAGCGATTTCCCATCCCCACTGCCTCCCTCCCTGCAGAACTTCGTCTGGGAGCTGATAATAAATTTGTTTTACTTCATCTGATTCTCCATGGCATAGTCCTCCTAAACAGTTCTCTCCCTCATCTGTTTTTTTTTTCCCCCTCATCTGTTTGAATGCAGTATACATTATTTATCACCTCTTAGTTTTCCCCCAACTCCGATGTCAGTCCTGTTTTACAACAGTGGCACTATGCAGTATTTGTCCTTTTGTGACTGAGATACTTCACTCAGCATAATGTCCTCCAGGGTCACCCATTTTGCATATTTCATGAGTTCCTTGTTTTCAATGCAGCATAGTATTCCACTGTCTGAATATACCACAGCTTCTATAGCCATTCATTCGTTGATGGGCATTGGGTTGTTTGCAACTCTCTGCTATTGTGAACAAAGCCACAATAAACATGGGTGTTCATATATCTGCTTGGGTGGCAGTTCTGCTTTCTTTAGGATATTCCAATAGTAGAATTGCTGGGCCAAATGGAATTTCTATTTCCAACTTTTTGAGGAAGTGCCATACTGCCTTCCAGAGTGGTTTCACCATTTTACACTCCCACCAACAACGAGTTCCAGTTTCTGCTAGTCAGCTCTAGGTGTACTCTACTGTACATAACGATTTTTTAAGGCCTAGAGGCTGGAAATTTAACTCAACAAAAATCCAGCCAACTTTCACCTTTATGAAATTTGCAGACGAGTAGTGGTACAGGACATATCAAGCTGTCACAACTTAACTGTTGGATATGTTATTGCACCTGCTACTTTGCAAAATCAAAGAGGGGGACATTTCTTAGTGGGCCTCTTTGATGTTGGAGGCAACACATTCCTCATTTATCTGTATTAATACAGCCTACTTATCATACGGCTCCATTTTTTAACTAATGGAAGCATCATGCATACTCATTTTGATCAGGTTAAAAGAAAGGAAGATGAACTACCCTATCTCACAGCATAAGCAAATATCAATTGTGTTACAGAGGGAAGAGATCACAAATCACTCCAACACTGTTTTGGGAAGAGGAAGGAGCTTTATTCAATGACGGAGTTCCTGAACTGCTTTATTCTGACTTTCTTATAGAAGACAAAGAACATCTCTGCTGTTCTCTCATTGGTGATTTTAAAGCATCTGCATGAATTTTAAGTTTTAGGAGCACAGGGGTTTTGTGAGTTTGGACACATTCTGGCTTCCCATAAAGGGAATAAATAGTCTTACCAGGCCACAGCTATTTTAGTGTATTAGAAACTGGGATACTCTCACAGAATTACAGCCTTCCTGGCTTTTCAGAGAAGGAAGCACCTGCAAAGCCTCTCTTTTCCTTTCCTAGGGGCTCAAACATTCTTGTAGGGCCTCTTCTTCCACAGGGTTTCTCTCTCAGTTAAAAATTATCTCCAAATATAACAACAGGTTGAAATTTATGTGGCCTTTCGTGAGTAATGGATCCTCAGAAAGAACACGAAATATAAAGAATTAACATGTGATTGTATGATATTTTTAAAAAAACAAACAACAAAAAACAACCAAAACCCTTTTTGTTTTCCAAAAGGAATAAGGAACTTATAATATACAAAATGGAAAACCCTTTATGTAATTAAAAAATTTTACCAAGAATTATATACAGGAATCTTAAAGGTCTGCAGGGTAAAGCCTTGAACGTAAGTCAGGAACACATAAGGCTTCTAAACATGAGTGTTTCCTCTGGTGTATGAAGAGAGTCGGCCTGTGGGTAAAGGCTTGCCCACACTCCTTGCAAACATACGGCTTCTCTCCTGAGTGTGTCCTATGGTGTCTGGTAAGATTTGAGTAATAGCTAAAGCCTCGCCCACATTCCTTGCAAACATAAGGCTTCTCCCCTGTGTGGGTTCTCCGGTGACTGATGAGAGATGAATTACAGAAAAAGCCCTGCCCACACTCCTTGCAAACATACGGCTTCTCTCCTGAGTGTGTCCTATAGTGTCTGGTAAGATTTGAGTAATAGCTAAAGCCTCGTCCACATTCCTTGCAAACATAAGGATTCTCCCCTGTATGCAACATCTGGTGCTTGATGAGAGTTGACTTATAGGTAAAGCCTAGCCCACACTCCTTGCAAACATACGGCTTCTCTCCTGAGTGTGTCCTCCGGTGTCTAGTGAGATTTGAGTAATAGCTAAAGCCTCGTCCACATTCCCTGCAAACGTAAGGCTTTTCCCCTGTGTGTGTCCTATGGTGATTGATGAGAGATGAATTACAGATAAAGCGTCGCCCACACTCCTTACAAACGTAAGGCTTGTCCCCGGAATGTGTTCTGTTGTGTTTGATGAGTTCCACATTACGGATAAAGCCTTGTCCACATTCTTTGCAAATATAAGGCTTCACCCCTGAGTGTGTCCTCTCGTGTATGTTAAGAGCTGTCTTCTGGGTAAAGCCTCGCCCACACTCTCTACAAACATAAGGCTTTTGCCCTATGTGTGACCACTGGTGTGAGAGGAGGTTTACCTTCTGCGTAAAACCTCGCCCACAATCCTTGCAAACAAAAGGCTTCTCTCCTGAGTGGAACCTCTGGTGTTTGAGGAGATAGGACTTACACGTAAAACCTCGCTCACATTCCTTGCAAACATAAGGCTTCTCCCCTGAATGTGAACACTGGTGTGAGAAGAGAGTTTCTTTCCGGGTAAACCCACGTCCACACTCCTTGCATATATAAGGCTTTTCTCCTGAGTGAGACCTCTCATGTTTGGTGAGATTTGAATTACAGGTAAAGCCTCGTCCACACTCTTTGCAAACATAAGGCTTCTCCCCTGAATGTGTTCTCCTGTGTTTGATAAGAGATGAATTACGGCTAAAGCCTCGTCCACACTCCTTGCAAATATAAGGCTTCTCTCCTGAGTGTGTCCTGTGGTGTGTGGTAAGATTTGAATTACAGGTAAAGCCTCGTCCACACTCCTTGCAAACATAAGGTTTCTCCCCTGAGTGTATCCTCTGGTGTATGATGAGAGTGGAATGCTGGGGAAACACTTTCCCACACTCTGTGCAAATATAAGACTTCTCCGGGAAAAGAGAATTTTGGCTTGTGTTGAAATTTAGCTTTCGGACACAGCTTGCATCCTCTCCATAGGTTACTTCTGCAAACCTTGAGGTTTCAACGTCTTCTCCCCACTGGTTTATTGCCACAGTGTTCACTCTTTGTGCCAAGTTGGATTCTAGGCTCACACTTGTATCATCTTCTCTATAGCACACTGGCTCTCTTCTGGGCAGGCAAGAAAAGGCTTCTGAAGTCTTCCCACCCAAAGATTTGGAGTCTTCTCTGCCTGTAGCTTCTGTGCTTTCCCTCCAGCGGCTCTCCTCAGAATCTGGCTCCTGATGCTGCTTCTGAGGCCCTGGGATGAACTCCTCGTGGTGGCAGGGATGTTCTGCACATATTCCTTCAAAGATTTGTAGTGTGTGTTTGCTGAGCACATGTTGACAGCAGAAAGCCAGAAGGCAAGAGGAACAGGAGGAGGTCTGTGGCTTTGCTTCTGCTGAAGAGAGAAGTTTTCAGTTAGAGAACTTACTCTTTCTGGCTGTCTTCTGTTTCATGACAGGCAGCCTCTCACTGCTGGAGTCCCTGAAGAGCACTAACAGTAACTGACAAATAACCTAAAGGTTGATGACTGATGAGCCAGAGTTGGAGAGGTCAAAGCCGTGCATTGCTACAAGGCTTGGGAGAAGAGTTTAAAGTTAAGAGTCCTTGCTGTGCACCATCTACATGACAAGGTTCTAGAAACTGCAGACAAGGGGGAAATGGAAACAAAACAAACCCAAAACAAAAGGTCAAAACCTTTATTGTCCTTGGAGCACATCTCCTCCACACATGTGGGCCCCACGGGTTGACAAGGACCTGATGACAAGTTCAACCATCTTAATGTCACACTTGGGTCTAAAACATATAGACCCAAGTTGTTTCCAAGCAACTATTTCTTTATGATCCAGCTTTACAAGTTATACTTTTTGTTGCAATACAGAAGTCATTAGCGTTCAGCATTTGTGGGTTTGGCTACTTATACAAAGTATGAATCTACTTGCTGGGCTGTAGGAGAAAATATCTAGCTGGCTGGTTCACACAAACTGACAGCCTTCCAATCCCTTTTGGGAAGTTGGGCTGGTTGACAGGTAAAATGCCCAACTCTTTGCCAGCAGGTAAGTGCATAATGACTCTGCTCCCAGGACCCCTCTGACACACAGGACTTGGCCAATACATACGCAATGAATTATGGAGGGACTTGAAAGCAGCATATACTCACCCAGGGACAGAAGGTTTTGAAATAAGTCTAGCATCACTTCTTTGTACAGGTTCTTCTGCTCAGAGCTCAGGGTCTTCCATTCTGCCTCTGAGAAGTCCACACTCACATCCTCAAATGTAACAGGTTCCTAGAATGAGACAGAGTTTAACTTGTGATCACAAGACCTTTACTGAAAAGTCTAATCACTTTCCCCCCCATGAACACAGTTCTCCATATATATTCAGCTACATGAAACTAGACTTAACTTTCTGATTAAGTTTAAGGGGAGCAAGAAGGAATGTCAAAACACCTTCAACCACTCAAACCCATATGCATTTGCTGAAGAAATGATTTTGAGGTCACAGAAGAAATGATTTGTGAATTATTATAAGAGATTACACAGTATTCAAGAATACGAATTTGACATTCATAATGGAGGAATTCCAAGATGAAAGAGCTTAAATTGGGATAGAAAAGAACAGGGCATCATGCACGGGGCTTTACCATTCAGGGATGGTGAAGAAAGACAGATGACACATTAACTACAGAGAAAAGTGAGAGTGAATAGTCAATGTCTGGATGGAGTATTTCAGAAAAGTGTAAATAACTCAATATGAACTGTAAAATCATTCTCTTTGTACTTTAATCACCTTTTTCTAGTGAAGTGTTATCATAGTTCACTCATGTATAATGCACCCATGGAAAAATGTTAGCAAAACAGGTAGGAATGCCCAGAAAGAAGATCTCTGCACACAGTAGGATTACTAAAGGTGGTGAGAAACAGTGGGCTAACTCATGCTGTCACACTGATCCTAATCATAGGCAGGGCCAACCACTTGAAAACCAAACCTCCTTTTGGATAGAGAAGGCCGGGCAGGATCAGATTGTGTCCAAGCCTCTGATACCATTTGACTTCAAGGATGCTTTTAGTGACTCTTTTTGTTGTTGTTAGGTGTCCTAGATTCTAAGACAACTCATAAAGACTCTATAACACTGGCTCTGAACCTCTTCTGTGCCATCATTATAGTCCCCGATCTACTTTACCCCACCCCTGCACAAGACAAAAGTTGAGAAAGTTTTACAATCTCCAGAATGACATCATTGCTCTTCAGTATTCTGGAGAGGACCTTGGCAGGAGATTTTCCCAATCCAATTTGTATTTTGATTTTCTGGCTGCTGGTGCCAAGACTGTTGATTATGGAATCGAGCACACTGAAATTCTTAACAATCTCAATCTCTTCTCTATTTATCACGGTGCTGCCAATTGGTCCAGTGGTGAGAATGTTTGTTTTCTTGCTTTTAAGCTTCAATCCATATTGAAGACTGCAGTTCTTGACCTTCTGCAGCAAACACCTTAGGGCCTCCCCAGTTGAAGCAAGCAAGGCTATGTCATCTCCATAGTGCATGTTGTTGATGAGTCTTCCTCCAATCCTCATTCCTCCTCATAAAATCCAGTTCCCAAGAGATTTGTTTCGCATGTAGACTAAAAAAGGTACAGAGAAATGATGCATCCATGACACACTTTCTTTCTTTTTTTAACAGGGGAAGACCGTGAACTCAAGTCACTCCCTACCACAAATCATGCAGTCGAGTTTCCCACATTTGTGGAAACTGAAAGGGTCAGCATATGCAGAATGCAACGGATAAGCCTAATCCTGGAAAACCACCTTCATGATCATGGTATTTTCCTGCCAGGTAAGTATGACTCACTCATTTCTTGATTTTTAACAAGGCAGTGTCGTTTTGCTGTTCTGACAACTGTTTACTGGTCTGACTACAGGTTTTGCATGAACACAATCAGGTGTTCTGAGATTCCCATTCTTCTCATTCTTACCCACAGTTTGTTTTGATCCACAAGGTGAAATGCCTTTGCATAGTCAATGAAACACAGATATTCTTGTAGTACTCACTGCTTTCAGCCAAGACCCTTCTAACATTAGCTATGATATACTTGGTGCCATCGGCTCTTCTCAACCCAGCTCGCAGTTCTGGTAGTTCTCTGTCCATGTTCTGCTCAAGCAGCTTTTGGATAATCTTAAGCAAAATTTTGTTTTCATGTGATATTGCTTGATAATTACCACATTCTATTGCATTACCTTTTTTTGGCAATGGAAGGAAGTATGGATCTCTTCCACCCAGGTAGTTATCCTCCAGATTTCTTTGCATAACCTAGTGAGCACATCCAGGGCAGCATCTGTTTGTTGAATTATGTCAATTGATATTCCATCAATTCCTGGGGCCTTGAGTTTTGCCAATGCCTTCAGAGCAGTATGATCTTCCCCCTTCATCATCATTGCCTCTTGATCATATGCTGTTTCATAAAATTCTTCTTTGTCTGTCAGTTCTTTCCAGTACAGTGACTCTTATCCTTTGCATGCTTCCTGGATCAGTCAACATTTTGCTCACAGCAACCCTGAGTACTGCCACTTGAGGCTTGAATGCAAAAGTTGGAAACAAGGAAGAAGGCTCAGTAGTCAGAAAACATGGACTTGGTGAACAGAAATGAGGCTGGAGACAGAATGACAGAACTTTGTACAATCAACGATTTATCCATTGAAAACACCTTTTTTAAAGAAACACAAATGGTAACTATACATATGGACCTCACCTGATGGTCTATACAGGTACCAGACTCATTACATCTTTGGAAAGAATCACTGGAGAAGCTCAATATCAACTGTGAAAACAAGGTTAAAAAAACAAACCAAAAAAAGCCAACAAAAACTAGGTCAGCTGCTGACTGTGGAACAGACTATCAACTACTCATATGCAAATTCAAACAGAAGCGAAAGAAAATCAAATCCACAAAAACCAAAACTTGACCTCGAGCCTGTCTCACCTGCATTGAAACACCATTTCAGGAACAGGGTGTGAGGCTTTGAGCACTCAATGAAGACCAATTAAATTGTGGGAAGATATCAAGAATATTATCATTAATAAGACAGAGGAGGAAGAAAAGACCAAGATGGATGCCACAAGAGACTCTTAATATGGCACAAGAACACTGAAAAGCAAAAGTAAAGGGAAGAAATCAGGATATTAAGGAACTAAATAGCGGATTTCAAAGGGCAGACTGGGAAGGCAAAGAAAAGTAGTATAATAAAGGTAAGCACAGAGGTGGAGTCACAGAATCAAAGGGAAGAACTTGCTCTTACTAAGGCTTAGTGGTAAGAACTAAAACACAACTCAAAAGTACAAACAATGCACTAGCTTTCACCCAGGAGGAAGATGGGAAATTTCCTCCTGAGATTTACAGCCTCTGAAAATCTGCTGCAGCATCAGCTTATAAATCAGTTAAGTACTCAACAACAAAAGAGGTGAACATCACATGATATAAAAAATTTATTTGAAAAAAAAATTTTAAAAAATTAAAAAAAAATTTATTTGAATGGCTAAATTGGCTCCAACTTTGTTTCTTTTGACTCTGACAAAATCAAAACCAATTGTTAAAACCTAGTAAGTTACAGTTCACCCTAAGATTATTTTTAATTTCCATTCAAATGTTTAAGCACTAAATACCCTTTGTGTATGTGTACAACAATGTTTTGTGTTTATTTAGTTTTTATTGTTATTTGAGTCAAAGTTTGTTGTTGTTTGGGGCCATTGAGTCGCCTGTGGCCCACAGCAGCCCTATGTACAGCAGCTCTGAAGCCTGCTGTGTCCTGAGCCAGACTGATTACAATACACGGACCCCCACTGTCCAGTTACTGTATCAATCCATTTCATCCAGGGTCTTTTTCTCCTGTGCTGTCCCTCCATCCTTCCAAGCATGAAGTCCTTCTCCAAGGATGGGTCCCTCCTGGCTATGTGCCCAAAGTATGTGAGACGGAGTTTCAAAATCCTAGCCTCCAAGGAGAAACTTGGTTTCACCCTCTCCAAGATAGACTTATTTTCTTGGCAGTACATGCTATGTTCAAGACTCTTCTCCATCACAACTCAAAGGCATTGATTCTTCTTCTGTCATTCTTCGTTACTGCCCAGCTTTCTGATGTATAGCAAGTAATTGCAAAGACCATTGCCTGGATCAGGTGCACATTAGGCTCTAGACTGATATTGTTGATTTTCTGTACTCTGGAGAGGTCCCTGACAGCAGACTTTCTAAGTGCAATTTGTCTTTTGATTTACTGGTTTGCTGGTGCCAAGCGTGTTGATTATGGAGCCTGGCAAGCTGTAAATGTTAACCACCTCAATCTCTTCTCCACCTATCATGGTGCTGCCAATGGGCTCAATGGCGAGATTTTTTGTCTTCTAGCAGTTGAACTTCAATCCATATTGTAGGCTATAATCCTTGACTGGCTGCAGCAAGGGCTCCGGTTCCTCCTCAGTTTCAGCAAACAAGGTTGTGTGCATAACCTAAAGTTGTTGATTAATCTTCCTTGAAAACATTCCTCCTCATAAAGCCCAGCTTCCCGAATGATCCTATATCTGCATATAGATTGTAAAGGTATGGAGGCAGGATGCATCCCTGATGCACTCCTTTCCTGATTTTGAACCATGCAGTGTTTCCTTGCTCTTCATTTACTCATTCATGCATTTTGTTTTATAATATTAAGCTGCTGTAAAGAGAATAACACCAGCATTCCCTTTCGTTAAAAACAGTGAACCACGAATGTGTGAGCAGTCACAGCAAGTCTCTGCTCCCCAATCAAAGTCGGGGGGCTTTATCATTAGCCACTCTTGTTCAACAGGGGATTTGGGTTCACTTAACCTGGCTGAATTCACTCCCATCTCCCATATTATCAAAGGACTGCAGGGTCTGAATAACCACGTCCATCTGGGTGTTCCTGTCTAATCCCAACTAAACTCATAACATAAACTCATCCTAGACGCAGGTGGGGAAGGCAGGGTGGCGCGGGGCCCGGGACCCCAGGACCCCCGGCGGCGTCTCCCCGATTTCCTTCACACACACACAGCAGCCGCCGCAGGCCCCGCCTCCTCCCCTCCCAGCAGCGCAGGCCTCGCCCCCGCCGGCCCCCCTCCACCTCGGGCCGCGATGCGGGGGGACACCCCCTTCCCTGGGCGCCCGGTCCCCGCGGGGAGAGGGAATCGAGGCCCCGGAGCCGCCAGGGCTGCGCCCGCCCATCCAGGCCTCGGCCGCGGGAGGGGCCCGACCCCCGTCACAAAGGGGCTGCTGACCCCCGACGTCCACCTACCGGACAGCGGTCACTGCGGCCACAGTCGCCCCTCTGCGGATGCCCGCTCATCATCTTGGAAAAGGTTGTCCAAGGAAACCTGCAGGACAAGCCGGGAAATAAACGAGTCCGCTGGAATATTCCCACCCCGCCCACCGCTGGCACATACCCGGCCACGCCCCCCGGCGCTTCGGAGGACGCACGAGCACTTCCGGTGCCGCCGGGAGCGGCCCCGCGCTGCCGAAGCTGCTGACCCGGAAGCTTTTGCTCAGGCTTGCTGGAAAATTGGGGGAGGGGGGGAGGTAGACGCCTTAAGGGGCAGCTGTCAGCGAGCTTAGGGTCACCGGGCTGAAGCTGCGAGGCTGAAAGAGAGTGGACACCAAACGAAGTGCCACCTCGCACTGGGAGCTCTGGTGGCACAGCGCATAGAGTCGTGCTGCTGTCACAAAGGCTGTGCTTTTCTAGAGGTTCACATCTACGATTATCAGTGACTCTAAACTTAAGTGTCTGTTGCAGGCTATTGTTGTTATATAACCTCAAGTCAAGCCCTATACACAGTAGCTCTGAACCCTCTCCTATTATGAGCCAATCTCACGGTATCTGAGACCCTTACCTCCATTATACCAGTTACTGTGTCATTCCCTTTCATTCAGGGTCTTTCTCTCTTGGGCTATCCCTCCACCCTTCAAGCATGACGTCCTTCTCTAAGGACTGATCCTTTCTGGGAACATGCCCGAAGTACGTTAAACGGACCTTCAATATCTTTGCCTCCAAGGACCCAACTTTTTTTCAACCTCTGCGGGACAAAGCTATTACTTGCAGGCTAGAGGGTGAGAATTGAACCCAACAAAATTCCACCAACTTCCACCTTCACAACATTTGTAGAGGTGTAGTGGTCAAGCGTTACAACGAAACAGGGATACGTTATTGCATCTGCTCCCTCCCAAAATTAAACGGGGACATATTTTTGGTGGGCCTCTTTGGATGTTGGAGGCAACACATTCCTCATTTATGTATACTATTATAGCCTACTTATCAAGTGACTCCATATCTGAACTGGTGGAAACATGCTGCATACTCGCTGTGTTTAGGTGAAACCAAAGGAAGATGAACTACCCTACCTCACAAAATATGCAAATACCAACTCAAGATCAATCACAAACCTAAAAACTGTTTGAGATCTATAAGGCCTTCAAGAAGCAATGGGTTCTTAAAAGGGACATCAGATCATAATGAATTATATATATGACTTTATGAAAGAAAAAAAAACAACTTTTGTGCTTCAAAAATCATCAATCAAGGGAGCTCTGGGGGCCTAGTGGCAAGACGCTGCACTGCAATCCCAGAGGTAAGCGGTTCAAATCCACCAGATGCTCTGCTGGAGAAGGAAAGGCTAATCTTCTCCTGTACCAGTCAGATCTGATTTGATGGTACACATAAAAATAATACAATAAAAATTTAAAAGAATTTTTTAAAAATCATCAATCAGAAAATAAGAATATATACACTATATAAAAGCCCTATGTGTGATAAAGGATCAGGTCTTCTGGGTAAAGCCTCCAGTGTCAACTAGGAACGCATAAGGTTTCTAAACATGAGGTGCATGAGAGTTGATAAGTAAAGCCTTGGTCACACTCCTTGGCAAACATAGGCTTCTCATCTGAGTGTGTCCTGTGGTGTGTGATGAGCTTTCAATTACAGGTAACTCCTTGCCCACACTCCTTGAAAATATAAGGCTTCCCCCTCCCCAAGCATGTCCTCTGGTGTATGTTAAAAGCTGACTTCTAGGGAGCTCTGGTGGCCTAGTGGCAAGAAGCTGCACTGCAATCCCAGAGGTATGCACTTCGAATCCACCAGATGCTCTGCTAGAGAAGGAAGGGCAATCTCCTCCTGAACCAGTCAGGTTCGATTTGACGGTACACACACACAGAGCTGACTTCTGGGTATGGCCTCACTCACATTCCCTGCAAACTTAAGGATTTTCCCCTGAGTGTGTCCTGTGATGTGTGATGAGAGTGGAATGCTGAGGAAATCCTTTCCCATACTCCTTGCAAATATAAGTTTCTCCTGAGACCTTTGATTTGTACTGAAGTTTGACTTTAGGACACAGTCTGGGGTGTCTTCTCCATAGGCTGCTGCTGTAACCCTGAAGTTTCTACTTCTTCATCCCATTGTTTTATTGTCACAGGCTTTGCCCTTTGTGCCAAGTTGGATTCTAGGCTCACCCTGTGTCCTCTTCTCTACAGCATGCAGGCTGTCTTCTGGGCAGGCAGGAAAAGGTCTTTGAAATCTTCTTTTCCCTTGTCTTCCCACCCAAGGGTTTAGAGAACTCTCTGTCTGTAGCTTCTGTGCTTTTCCCTCCAGGAGCTCTCCTCAGTATCTTGCTTCCTAAAGCTGCTTCCTCAGGGTGGCAGGGATGTTCTGCAAATAGTCCTTGGAAGATCTGCAGTGTGTAGTAGATCAAATAGGGTGTAGATCTGTTGTGTAAAGATCAAATTCTGAGAGCAGAAAGCCAGAGGGCAAGAGGAACAGGAGGAGGTCTGTGGCTTTGCTTTTCAATCAGAAAACTTGGTCTACTTGGGCTGTCTTCTTTCATGACAGGCAGCCTCTTACTGCTGGAGTCTCTAAACACCACTTACAGTAATTTACCAATAGCCTAAGGATTGATGGTTTATAAGCCAGACCTGGAGAGCTACATACAACAGACCAAAGCCTTCATTGCCCTATGGAGCATATCTCCTCCACGTATGTATGAGCCCCATGGATTGATAAAGACCCGATGACAAGTTCAACCATCTTAACGCCACACTTGGAAAAACATATAGACACAAGTTGTTTCCAACCAATTATTCATGGTCCAGCTTTTCAGGTTATACTTTTTGTTGCAATCCAGAAGAGGGCATTATAGTGCAGCATTCTGGGGTTTGCCTACTAATAGAAAGGTTGGTGGTAAGCTTCTATGCCGAACAGGAGGAGAAATATGTGGCTGGCTGGTTCATACAAACTGATAGTCTTCCAATCCCCTCTGAGAAGTCAGACTGGTTGATAGGTGAAATGTCCAACTCTTTTTGCTAGCAGGTAAGTGCATAATGACTGTGTCCCCAGGACTCATCTGCCACCTGGCAGTTGGCCAATACATACGCAGTGAATTACTGATGGAAAAGAAAGCAGCATCTACTCAGCCAGGGACAGAAGGTTCTGCTAAGTCTAGATCTGAGAAAGCATTAACAGCTTGAGTTATATAACACAACCTTGCATACTCAAAGTGAGGAGGACTTGAAGCGCTTGCTGCAGAAGTTCACACCATTGAATGACTACAACTTTCAATATGGTTTACATCTTGACAGCAAGAAAACATTCTTATAGAGCTCTGGTGGCCTAACCTAGTGGCAAGAAGCTTCACTGCAATTCCAGAGGTGTGCAGTTCAAATCCACCAGATGTCCTGCTGGATAGTTTTGATGGTACACACGCAAAAAAAAAATAATAAAAATTTTTAAAAAAGTTTCATTAAAAAATATTCTTCATCTTGGTTCAACTGACATCATCATAGATAGAGAGAATGGACAAATTGTCAATGATTTCATCTTGCTTGGATCCACAATCTGCACCCTAGATACCAGCAGGAAAGAAATTAAAAGACATATTGTGTCGGGAAAATCTGCTATCAGGGACTTCTCCAAGGTCCTGAATTGCAATGATTTCAGTTTAAAGACTAAGGTGCACTTGCTCCAAGCCATGATCTTTCCAATTACTTGCTATACATCTGAAAGTAGGAAGGGTGAATAAAGACAATAGAAGAATTAGGGAGCTCTGGTAGCCTAGTGGCAAGAAGCTGTGCTGCAATCCTGAAGGCACACGGTTCGAATCTAGCAGATGCTCTGCTGGAGAAGGAGGGACAATTTCCTCCTGTTCCTGTATCAGTGGAGTCAAATTCAACGGTACACAACAAGGGGGGGGGAAGACAATAGAAGAATCACAGATGCCTTTGAGTTGTGGTTTTGGAGGAGAGTACTGAATGTCCCAGAGACTGCCAAAAGTACAAATAAATAGGTCTTGTAGAATGTGCATAACAAACTGTGGCTGACTCTGAGAAGAATGGGAATCCCAGAACACTTGCTCGTTCTAGAATGTGAAACCTATACTTGCACCAAGAGGCAGTCGTCAGAACAGAGCAGGGAAACACTGCATGGTTCAAAATTGGGAAAGGCGTACGCCAGGGATGTGCCCTGTCTCCATACCTTTTCAACCTGTATGCAGAACAGATTATCCGGGAGGCTGGGCTCTATGAGGAGAATTGAGGCATCAGGATTAGTGGAAGATCTATTAACAATCTGTTATGCAGATGACACAACCTTGCTTGCTGAAACTAAGGAGGACCTGAAATGCTTGCTGCAGAGGGTCAAGGACTACAGCCTTCAGTATGGATTGAGTCTCAACGTCAAGAAGACAGAGATTCTCACCACTGGACCAATTGGCAGCATCAAGATGGATGGTGAAGAGATTGAAATCGTTAACAATTTTAGTCTGCTTGGCTCCACAGTCAACACTCTTGACACCAGTAGCCAGGAAATAAAAAAACATAATGCGATGGGAAAGGTGGCTGTTAGGGACCTCTCCAGGGTACTGAAGAGCAATGGTGTCATTCTGAAGACTAAGGTGCATCTGATACAGGCTATGGTCTTTGCAATCACTTGTTATGCATCAGAGAGTTGGACAATGAACAGGATGGAAAGAAGGGGAATTGATGCCTTTGAGCTGTGGTGCTGAAAAAGAGTATTGAATGTACCGTGGACTGCTAGGAGAACAAACAGATTCATCCTAAAGAGGGTTAAACCTGGCTGCTCCTTGGAGGCAAGGATTCTAGGGCTTTGTCTGACATACTTTGGACATGTAAGGAGGGACAGGTCCTTGGAGAGGGACATCATGCTTGGGAGGGTGGAGGGCACAGTATAGGAAGGCCCTCTAGGAGATGGACTGATTCAGTGACTGGGGTAATCGGGATGGGTGTATTGGAGAGAGTGGGATTGGCACAGGACAGAGCAGAGTTTAGGGCTGTTGTACATAGGGTCGCCTATGAGTTGCAAGGGACTTGACAGCACTTAACAAAAAACAACAAGTCAATATGACGTGTAGAAGTACTCTTTGACATTGAATTACCTTTTCTAAGAAAGTGCATCATTTATCATTCATGTAGAGTATAACTGAGCCATAAAAAAGTCTCTCTCCCAGGGTCATTCCAGAAATGGGATATTTACATCGGATAGCATCACTAGAGT